CTGCTGCTGCTGCTGCTGCTGCTGCTGCTGCTGCTGCTGCTGCTGCTGACAGCAAAGGCTAGCTAACCCCAAAGCTTCTGTCCCTGTCTGCCATCTTCCTGTAAGGGTCCTGGGGTTACTTACAGAACACAAGTAACTGCAAAAGCTGCATTACCAAGAAGTCCACCCCATCATGGGTGATAACGTACTTAGGCCTCTGTACTAGGGTCTCACCCTCAGTTAGCCTTGCACCTCCCACAAAGCCTAGAAACTCCCAAGACCAGTACATCTGGGAGACATGTCTTGAGAGTCTTGCTATGTAGCCTAGGCTGACCTGGAACTGGCAGCCATCCTCCTGCTTCAGTCTCTTGAGTACTGGGATTACAAGTCTGCAGTACTGTGTCTGGGTTATTTTAATGTTTAGCTTGACTTCCTAAGGGGTACAATGGTGTCTTCTTAGCTTAGTGATTTGCCACTGATTTGGGCAAGGCTTGTGTTCAAACATGACTTTCACCCATTGCTGACTGGATAGGGTGGACACAGTTCTCACTTAAAGTTCAGGCAGCTGTTGAGTCAGCCTTGGCTTTTACATTCTCCTGAGCCAGCCCCAGGCCTCCTCCATAAGCATTTCATTTCCTATTCAGCCAGAAACACATGCAAAGATTATCTAGATGCCTTGTTCTAACATCGCTGCTATTTCCCTTTTTAGTTTCTAGCTGAGTAGTCCCCTTCTTGCTGGAATCACCGCCTAGGGCAGCGCAGCTGCGGGGTTCTGCCTTTATTTCCTACTTAGTTTGCTGCTTTCACGGTCTGCTAACAAGCCCAGACTTCTCACTCCCCATTCTAAATCATGTGACCCCTCTTGCCACCAAGCTGGCTGTCGCATCTTTTCCCAGTGGAAGGATGAACACTGTCCAGCTGAATCAAGTAGGACAGACGCCTGCAGATTCTCGCCCAAACCGGCAGTTCCTTCCTTGGAATAAACACCACTTCCTTTGTGGTTTATCTTTGTTTCCTCTTCAGAGACCTGAATTGGTTAATTTTGATGCTCTAAATAAATCAGAGCTTAAGAACTGATGAAGGAGGCTGGAGAGATGGCTCAGTGGTTAAGAGCATTTGCTGCTCACTCATGAGATGGCACAGAGATGGAATTCCAGCACCCAAGGTAGACAGCTCACAGATATGCGGAGCTTCAGCTCCAAGGATTCCATTTCCTCCTTCTGACCTACAAAAGCATCTGTGATTACATGTGTGCATATGCTCATCGAGGCATATGTACACACACACACACACACACACACACACACACACACACAAAATAAATCCGATTAAAACTAAGCAAAGAATTCTGATCTCATGCTGTGAGACAATGGTCTTGTATACTGTAAAGATTTGTCATTTGTATTGGTTTAATAAAAGACTGACCAGTAGCCAGGCAGGAAGTATAGGCAGGGTGACCAGAATAGGAGAATTCTGGGAAGAGGAAAGGCTCAGTCTGTGGTTGTCACCCAAACACAGAGGAAGTAAGATGAGAATGTCTCATTGAAAAAGGTACCAAGTCATGTGGCTAACACAGACAAGAATTATGGGTTAATGTAAGGTATAAGAGTTAGTTAATAAGAAAGCCTGAGCTAATAGGCCAACCAGTTTATAATTAAGGTAAGCCTCTATGTGTTTCTTTGGGACTGAATGGCTGCAGACCAGGCAGAACTGGAACAGTCCTGTCAACAGTCTCACATATAACGAGTTTGGAAATCATCCTGACCACATGTAAAATCTGAGCAAACAAGAATACCAAAGCTTATGACGATGAATGCAGGTAATCCCAGCACTTGTGAAGTGGTGACTGAAAGATCAGAAGTTCAAGGTCATCCTTGGCTACATAGAAAATCTGAGACCAACCTAGGTTACACGAGACTCTTCCTTTAAACAAACAAACAAACAAAAA